TCTTTCTTTCTTTCTTTCTTTCTTTCTTTCTTTCTTTCTTTCTTTCTTTCTTTGTCTTTCTTTCTTTCTTTCTTTCTGTCTTTATATCCTTTCTAGACAAGGACAGTTTATCGCGTAAACATTTTCAATTGAGGGACAGAAAGCTCTCGGACTAAATCTAGAATATCTTAAACTGTGTTCAGAAGATGACATGGGGGGGAGGGGGGAGTCATTAATGTCGCAATTTTCATTTTTGGGTGAACTAACCCTTTAAGTGCTGATGGAAGAGATGAGTTTTCAGCTGTTTCTTGAATATTGTCAGGGATTCTGTGTTCCAGATCATTTTGTGATCATTCTGTGTGTGTCTGTGTATAACTGTATATGTATACCTGATCCTCTTTCGGTAGACACAGACAGGGTCATTGTGGCTTTAAAAGCAGTTCCCATTGACTTTGGGTGCACTTTACTGATGCTTGGAAGACTGGGGTACAATTGAACATTTTAAAATATTTGGAAATTTCGCAAGGAGTATGATTTCTATTTTTAAAGTTATGGTTACAAACTATCACGGTAATTATCGTTCATGTGCCAGACATTAATCAGACACTGAAAAGCTCCTTTAATATGAATTTGTTTTGCCTCAGATAACTTCGATTTGAAACCAAGGAAGACGATTTAGAGCGGAAAGGTTCTCATTTTCTGACTCTTTTGAAGTGTGGCTGCATCAATGTGTGGTTGGAGGTATTTCTTTTTAAAATGTGGTTATTTGCAGAAGTATTTAACCCTTAAAAGTTCACAGATGTTATGGAGGTGTACGTGCTGGTGCACACGGATGCATATCTCTCTGTTGCATGAGACTCATGGTTCAGGGGATGGACTGTTTGGCATTCTGTTAGATTCAGCACACATTGCTCGCATTTTTTTCTCTGCAGGAGAGGAGGATTCTGGCTTAACAAATAATGAACTAGATAGGGAGACAATGTCAGGAGAGTTCATTTTTATTAACTGTCTCGTATTGTCCCACTATACAGAGTTGGCTAGCTTTGAGGGTCAGAGCATTTAGAGAACTTTCAAAGCAATAAACTCTTTTGTGGGGGTCATTGAAAATCATCTTTCTTGGTTTGTCTGCCTTGAATAGATGATGTCAGATTGAATAGAACATAAGTTTTACATAAACATCATATCTATTTTGAGATAAAGAACAAATTGTCACTAGATTAATAAGATCCTCCAAAAAATAGTCAAAGGTTGATGCTTGAAATTCATTTGTTGTGAATCCCAAAAAAGAAATTAAATGTACAAAAAATTAAAGTGCTCAATGCATTTTATAAGTCAACAAACTTTGTTTGGTTTGTTTGTTTGGCAACCATTGTAGATCTTTCAGAAGGGGAATGACATGCGTAAAGGTCACGTAGGACCTTCTTTAGTTTTCATAATCTTTGGAAACATTTTATCTTTATATACAGTTTCTTACATCTCATTCATCACGCAAGAACAAATCCAAAGGTGGAGGGGGGCAAATTACAAGAAACAGGACAATTTAAAGATTTAATCTGTTCTGTTTCTTGAAAAAAAAAAAGAAATCTCTGTTTTAAGGATCTTTCTTCACACTCTCTTTGTGTTAGACACATTTTACTGTTGCTGTCTGTCTTGTCAATCGTGTTGAATTATGAATGAGTGTGTGTGTGTGGGGTCTCTTTCCTTTGAACTTTTGAATTAGTCAGAGCCACACAGTCTCTTGCAGTGAAATGCTTGACATGTAATGTGGCTTATGACAGCCCTGCCAGGTCTTTAGAAAGTTATTTTAAGTATCCCTTCATATATTTGTTGGCTAGTTGGATTAATGGCCGTTTCATTTTTTCATTTTTTCATTTCGTTTCATTTCATTTCCGAAAAATGCTGGAATGTTTTCATCAAAAACCTTAATTTCTTTTCGACTGAAGTAAGAAAGACGTGGACATCTTGGATGACATGGGGGTGAGTAAATTATCAGCAAAAGTTTTTCATAAAGTGAACAACTCATTTAAAGATGGTGTAGTGTTCATGTGCTCCGGATAGACTGTTCTTAACTGAATCCTGGCTGCTCAATCTGAATCTGCTTACACAAATGTATACTGTATGCACTTTGTGGTGATGGGTGAGTACACACGTTTCAGTGGTAAGACTCATTTTGGCACAGATTACACCAATAATATGCAATAGTTTTAGAAACCCTTGTTGTATGGACGACCTATTATGTTTTGTTTTGTTTTTTTACATTTCCAGCTTTCTTTAGTGTGTAATGTTGCTGTTTGAGCATCTGCGAAGTTCCAAAGCACTCCTTAAGGATTTATTCTCTAATCAGTAAACACTGATTCTGAACTCCCTTAAATACTTTGATTGTAGTCTTGAGTTCTTCTCCCTCATTAAAATAATTCGTGCTCACGCTTGAAGTGGTTGACCAATCACGACACATAAGTCCAGCCAACTAATCAGGGCACATGGTAGAAGCAGCGCTAATGTGGTTTGGAAGGTTTCCATTAAGTGGGACCAGCCACAGAAAAAGCTCTATCACTTTAAGCGAGTTCATGGAATTTAAAGTAAGCTTAGATATATACATGCATACATTTTTTAACGTCCTTTCAGAAATCGTGCTGCTGCATTTTGAACCACCTGTAAATAAGAAATTTGAGGCTTTGATTAAAATAGATGGAGTTGCAAAAATCTAGCCTTGTCGTAATAAAAGCATGGATTGCAACTGAGACTTCTCGGATAGAAACGGCTTAATTTTAGCAAGCAAGCAGAGATGAAAGAAACTAAAACCAATCACAGAGCTAATATTTTAATTAAACTCGAGAGAACTGTCAAACTCCACATCCAAATTCCTCACAGAAGGAGAAACAAAAGCGTGTAGATATTCAAGTTACATCCTGGAGAAACAGAGGGGTTTTATCTGCATTAAAGCTGCACTGTGTGATTTTTACGCCCATCTAGCGGTGAAAAGGTATATGACCATCCAGTGAATATTAGTTTCTGATCCTCTCAATTCCGATTTCGATTTAACTCTACGGTGGCCAATGTAGTCCAAGATGGCTTCCAGTTCGAACTCGTCCATGAGTGTTAACTCAAACGTAAACGCGAAAGACGAAGCTTGAATTAACGGGTATGTCCCTCTTTGGCTAATGTACTTTCAAGATGGAGGGGCAACATGGCGACCGACATTAGAACCCCTTACCCGTATGTATTTTCAATGGCATATTATACACTCACGAGAATACTTTATTACTTGAACGAAGTAAATATACATTAATGAGCACATATATTTTTGAAAGAACTAAGTGTTTTTAGCTAAGAATAAACTAAAAGAGTTACATTTGAAATGGTGCACCACCTGAGCATCTTTGCCATGCTATTTTCAACATTGCATGATTTGTGATGCACTAATAGCATTTTTATGTACTATATTTAAAATAGATATTATGAACATTAGTATGCAGCACCTGCTTTTCAAGGTCCTTTGTTGTTATCAACTTTGAGTTGGACATTTTCCATATCTCCAACAAAAGCTTAAACGTTGCATGTGCATCTTTCAACATTTTGGGAAGCATCTGTGCCAGTAACCTTGGCTTTTTCCAGCCTATGTTTGATGCAGGTGACATCCTGTTTCCCCTCAGGGAAAGAATCAGCGATGCAGATTTTCCATGTTTGGTCAAGGGGGATGGGCCACAGATCGATCGTCCTGGAAACCAGATGGGTCTCCACATATCGATAGTTGAACACACACACACACTTTTTACTTGGCCAGCTTGCATATCAAGGGCAGCTGTGGCATCTAGAATCTCAGCAGGAAGGTCAGAGCCGACAGTCTAGCCCGGCTTGTGGCTGCTGGGTTGAGGGTATTTCAGGAGCCTGGACTAATAATAGAACACAAAAAGCCCATCTCCTGGACTGATGTGTGTGTGTGTGTGTGTGTATATATATATATATATATATATATATATATATACTTTTCCAAGTCAAATTTCACTTTTTCCAAGTCAAATGTTCTCGATCAAATGAGGAAGTTGATCTCAGACATTTGGATCCCACTGAATGTGTTTATGTTGGCATAATGGAAGGGTTAGAAGTAAAAGAAACCACTGGCAGTATTGTTATTCCATGCATGACCCTTCACCCTGCATTGGATTTATCGATATGCAGTCTTGACAGCTCCATTTTGCTTTCCCTGTTTGTTTCCGGTCTCTTGTCAGCTGCTTTGGTCTAATTGCATCAGTCTCATGCAAGCGAGCAGTGATTGATTAAGACTTGTGAATTCTGTTACGTTCTTTTTGAAAATATATTTTTTAGTCTTTCACAGAAGAAAGGAAGACCTTAGACTTGTTTGTGAAAATGACCAAGCAATGGATTATCTTGCCTAAAAGACTTATAGTCGATAGCTTATGAAAGCTTGTTTCCACCACTGCACTGAGTAAAAAAATGTAAAATGTAATCGTGAATAGTTTTTGCCCCATAATTAGGATTTTTTTTCTCAATTGTGAGTGTATATCTTACAATCTGGATGTTATAACTCACAACTGTGAAACAGTGAGAACTGACAGTTATAAATTTACCAAATACCATATGCCATATACCAAATACCAATATCATATGCTATTTTAGCCGTAAGAGTTCTGAGAAAAGTCGAAATTGTGAGATAAAAAGTCGCAATTGCCTATTTTTGTTATTCTGTGGCAGAAACAAGCTTCCATAATGACTTCCTTTCTTATGTGGAACAATAAAACTTATTTTGAAGAGTGTTGGTAACCAAGAGTTTCATTTGGTTTTGTTCAGGTATGAATCAAGTTGTTTCTTTGGTAATTCTAGTTGCCTCTGTTCGAAACATATGTTTGTTTGTTTTTTGTTTTAGTTGCTGGTTTGTTGGTGTAACCTTTCAGGCTTCTTAACTAGTTTAACCAGCAATTATTCCTTAATCTACAACTACTAAGCTGTCCCATAGCAGAATCATTTAATTTTCATTTTAGAAAACAGGCAATAGATACTCATCTCCCTCTGAATCCACTCTTTTCTTTAACAGTGTTTCTCCCAAGGATTCATTCCCAGCCTGGCGTCTCTGTTTTGAGCATTGTGTTTATGACCCTATTAAATGAGCATATTTTGATTGTGGGGAATGATCTATTTTGGTATTGAGCTCTGTGATGGAGATTAGAGGATGTGACCAAGTCTGCTGTCTTGATATGGAAAACCGCTCAACTTTTAAAGCAGTGGTTAACTAGTATTTGTTGTTTTCTATTTTAGCCTTAATCTTGATATCATATTCTCCTAAAGCTCTTTGCTGGGTTTGGTCAGTGTTTTAGTCTAATGCCAAAACATTGATTTATATATTTATTTAGCCTTGGAAGATGAAAAGATAAAATAGACTTTTGTGGCATATTTGAGTTTTAATGTACAAGTACAAGTGAAAAGATTTCTCTTACAAACCATCTGTACTTAGTCCACAGTTCCCATTCAAGGTGTACAGTATTAAATCATGTACAGACAAATTAAAAGGAGAATTGCTTGCTTTATTAAAGATAATTGTTTTACTTTTTAGAGACTTGGTTCAAGTTTCTGAGGAATTCCATTATGGATTGTTCAGATACTACAGAGCATTCTTTCAGTAACCAATCAGAGATAGGAGTTAGTCAGGCAGACTCCTCCCCCTCTGCAGCTGATTGGCCCGTCCTGCTCTTTATATCTCCACACGTGAAGGGAGCTGTAGTAAACATAGCTGTTCTCACATGTACATGCCTGGATCATCTCAAATCATCTACACTTCAGCTTAGACACCTGTTATCTCAACAAACAATGGCAGCCTTTGTCTCGGTGAGTTCAATTTCCACACAGAAGAATTTAAGTTTCATCATTTGTGCAGTTAACATAAATTACATTAATGCAACAATGTAACCCATATGTTCAGGATTTATGAGGTTTTTCTTGTGTAGACTACCATTCAAAAGTATGGGGTTTTGGAAAATCTCTTATTTACCCCAAAACTGCATTTATTTGACCAAAATTACAGTAAAACTGTAATATTGTGAAATATTATGACAAATTTAACCACTTTTTTATGTTTTAAAATGTAACTTTGTCCATTGATGGCAAAGTTTCAGTGTCGCATGATCCTTCAGAAATCATTCTTTTAGGTTGATTTTATGCTCAGGAAATGTTGAAATTATTTCTGTGGAAACTGACAAAGATTTTTGATTAATAGAAAGTTTGAAAGAACAGCATTTCGTAACGTTATAAATGTTTTTAATAAATTTAATGCATCCTTCTTGAATAAAATAAATTGTGTGTCAGTTGAAGTGTATAAAATTGAAGTTTAAATAAGTGTCAGTAGAAGATTAGAAATGCTGGGGTTGGTTGGCTTAATTTAGCACTGTCTCTGGCAGTTTTTGTCTGTGCGAATGGCCTCCCTGCATGTGTGTAGTGTACTTTTGGCTTGTACCTTGCTGTTTATAGAGCTCACGTTCAAATACAATGTGTGAAATACCTGAGATAAGTGCTCACAAGTGCCTGCTAAACCTTGTTAGCCCCACAGTGCAACAACAAAACAAGATGCTTATTTTATACATTCGTTTTAGTAACTTACTCAGGTTAAAGCTATACATTTTGATTTTTGCCATTTTGTTTGGGTTTCCAGTCAGGATATGAAGTTTGGGCAATCAACTTTTGTTTGTGAGACGCTTGTCTTCTATCGACTTTATTAATTAATGAATTGTGCATATCATTAAATTTGCTTTTCCATTTTAAGATCCATGAGTACATCTTGATTTCAGACATTGTTTATCTTCTCTTCAGATTTTGTTTTGATAGATATTTTATTTTTGTATTACAAACAGTGTTTTGTGTATGTGGGGCATTTATATTTGAATTTATCTTTAATATGATAAAACATTTTATTTACTAATTTTGTCATCGGGAAAAAAATACTAATATTAGGCAATTTTAAAGTTGGGATATACTGACATTTGCTCAACTCAAAAAAAATAAAAATAATAATATATATATATATATATATTTAAGCTGAGCAAATGTCTGGATATCCCAACTTTAAAATTGGGATATTTTTGGAAAGTCATATATATAAATTATAGGCTATTTGTGTGTGCGTTTTTCAAATCATTTTGGCAATTTGGCATGATGACATATTTTATCATTTAACCATTATTTAACCAAGATACTTTGTTCTTTTAGATGGCGACGTGTTACACCTGTAACAAGATGTCCAGACAACCTGGAATGAACCGTGAGCTTTTGGGTACTCTGCCACAGAACCGAAGTACCCCAGGAAGTGCAGGCAAACAAAGAACTCCACAGTCTGTCAACAGGACCACTCCAAAATCAACAGTGGACAGAACACCAAGTGGCACACCAAGGTAAGCTACTCTTTGAACATATATAATGCAAGTCCTAACTGCATCTCACAGAACTAATGAAACCATTTACTCAATGCTTTCTTCCCGCAGGTCAGTGTCTTCAAACACCAGCTCGTCATCAAAGTCTTGCAGTGCAAAGTCGTCACCCTTCGCCCGCCTCAAAAAGATCCTTATGCTGGAAACCAAACAGCAGAGTAAGAAAGGTGGTCTGAAGGACTTCCTCTCATCTCTCTGAAGACCTCGGCATCCTTGAAAATGAAAGACTCTGGCCCACTTTGAAAGGAGCAACTGAAGTTCATGATGAGGATGATAATCACTTCTCCTCAATGCCACCTGGTGGAGGAGTCATTATAGCCTGGTTTATATTGAAGGACTGGGTTAAACTCAACTGAACTAAACGTCTCATTTCTGGATCCTTCTGGACAAGTGGCATAAACATTTATTTTTTATAGCACATTGTAACTTGTGCTACAGAACAACGCTGTGACTTTTTGTAGTTTTTTTTTTTTTTGCTTTGTTTTTAATTTGCTATTATTTTCATGATACCACATATTGTTATTTTTTTAACAAAAAAAGATAACTTTTATATGTTGTGTGTTTAATGTTAATTTTGTACACTGACTTCACACATTTGAATCCATTGTTTGGATTACTGATATTAAAAGATGGATTTTCTTTACACTTGGCTTACACATTGAAATAATTGTGAAAATTGGGCTTTGTTGTTTACATTTGGTGGCATAGTTGCCTTCAGACTATATAGAAAAGACCAAAAATACGTCACACTGGCTTCTTTTTTCTGTCTCAATACATTTACATTTTTTTCAATAAAAAGTAAAATAATAAAGTTTGTGTTTATTTATTAATCTTAAAAGAGATTAAAACACCCACAGTGTTTATTTTATTAATCTTAAAGAGATTATATTTATTTATTCATCTTAAAGAGATTTTTTTCTAGGCCCCAAACTATTATAATAATTTTTAAATTGTATATTTAAAGAAGCAACACAAATTGTGTTAAAAATACTGCACTTTTTTACACAAAACTGGAAACATAAAATGAACTGTGGTTAAACTTCTTAATGTCAACTCTCCCAGTTTCTGGTAATAAAAAAAGTTCAAAAGCGAGCAGTCAATATCCTATAAAATAGAGAGGACATATGGACATGTTTATCTTCATTTACTGTAAAAGTGCGAATACACATTAAAAATAATGTTCTTAAATTATATAATTGGTTTTAGAAGTTTTATCTTCGACTCACTGTAGTGTTTTTAAAATCTCAATGCACATTTTAGGGGCCTTTTATTTTGAAAAACCATTTTCACCCGGAAGTGGTTAAACAGACGCTCATATGTATGTACCCTTTGTATGTACGTTTAGTTTACAATCATCATTACACTGAAAAATTAACTTTCTGAACATAAAATGCGATTATAGATATACCAGAAACTATCTCCAACGATTGTACAATGTCAGCTCGCAAACGAAGCCGAGAGCATCACGAGGACAGACATGAACGAAAGAAACACAAGGAGTCTAAACAAGATGATGACACATTCAAGAACCAAACCAGAAAACTGATTCAAGAGGTGCAGAAACTCAAGCATGTGGAGACTTTGTGAGTATTTGCATAACATCCGTTTGGTATTGGTAATTATTTTGTATAACTTAGATTTTTTGTATTATCTGAACTTCTGTAGCATTCGGTTCCACTTTAGTTTATGTTATTACTTTATTTTTTATTTTTCCTTTCAGCTATGAAAATCCTCCTCCTGGGTTCATCAAGGTTTGGTCATGGCTTGAAGTGTTACCATTAAATGCTGCGAATATACCATGAACAAGTTGCGTTGCACTTCATTTTAAGGTGTCATTGTTGCAGTGTATTGCAAACATTTAAGTAAAGGGATAGTTCACTTTAAAATTACTTTTGGTATGTTTTAGCTTACCTCAAGGGCATCCAAAATGTAGGTTTCTTTGATTCTGCTGTAGTTTCAATTTTGATATTTTTTTGTCAAACCGTTCTTGTCAGGTCATATAATGGAGGTCATATAATTTTCTGTGCATGCTCTTTGAGGTGGTGACCATAGACCTCCATTATATGACTGATAGACACGAACGGTCACTACTGCGGAAACAAAGACACCTATATCTTGGATGCCCATGAGGTACTCTAAAACATACCAAAAATTAATTTCAAAGTGAAATATCCCTTTAACAATATGTACTTGCTATAGAGTTTGGGTTTACCATTTACCATTTACTTGCATACAATTATGCATAATATAATGTTATTAGTAAGCAAGCACCTGTAATATATGTAACATGGACACTGTAAAATAAAGTGTCACCACTACTAGTTGTCAGAGTTCATGTAAAGGATTAGAAATAAGTAGGCATTTTGCAATACACACAGAAATCCTTTTGCAGGAAGATGATTTCAAACCAGAGGACTGTATTCCCAATGACCCTGGTAATGAAGACGCCAGGAACTTCTTGGCTCACGCTCCCACTAAAGGACTGTGGATGCCTCTGGGAAAAGAGGTTAAGGTCATGCAGTGTAAGCAAACTTTCAGATATATTTACTTTTTAAGAATTTTTTGTGATCTAAATTGAACTGATTTGAAACGAGTAGGTGTTTCTTTTATGGAAGTGTCTTTCTGCCACGTAATGAAATATAATAGTGGTAATAGTAAGGTAAAAGGTAATTGTGACCTTTTCTTCGCAGAAAAAAACAGAATTGTGAAACATAGATTCAGATTTGGGAGAAAATAGAATTATAAGATAAAAACATGAACTTTTAAATGAAAAAAAGGTCAGAATTGTATCCCAATTAAAAATGAAATAAAATTTGTATCTCACACTTCTGACTTTTTTCTTGAAATCATGAGCCATGACCTCACAATTTTGAGAAATAAAGTATGAATTGCAAGATATAAATTTGTAATTGTGAGAAGTCATAATTGTGTGATATAATCTTCCAAATTGTGAGAAAAAAAAGTCAGAATTGTGAGAAAGTTGCAATTACCTTTATCATGAGTTTATATCTGACAATTGTGACTTTTTTCCTGCAGTTCTGAGTTTATATCTTACCATTCTGAGAAAAATTCAAATTGTGGGCGAGATATAAACTCAGAATTGCGAATTATACATGGTCATAATTATGATATATGCTTACAATTGTGACAAAAAGTCAGATTTGAGACTTATAAAAATGGAATTGTATGAAAAAAAGTCAGAATAGTGAGTTATGAGCTCTGAATTCTGAAGGAAAAAAGTCAGAACAAAATGTCAAAGTATCATTATGTTATATTTACCACAGGCTTTATTTTACTCATAAATACAAAACATTATAAAACCCCATTGGAAAATCTCAAGGGAACCAGTGGCGAATTAATCCTTGCAGCACTGTATTGCGAGATAGTCAGAATTATGTTTATATCTCACAATTTCGAGCTTATAACTCACAATTCATACTTTTCCCCTATAACGTGGCTGAAACAACCTTCCATAGTCTCTTGACTGGTCGTGTATATAGAAAAGTTTTTGTGCAATATATAATTAAAACATAAACTTGAGCTTCTGCTGGGTTTTTTTTTTATATAAAATTGATGCCTGTAACTTTTAGCGACAAATGATGTTTTGCTGTGTGGATGAAAGTCACTGAGAAAGCAAACTGTGTGTAGGCTGGAGATGTAAACAGTACGGCCACAGAACGGGAGACAAAGAATGTCCGTTCTTCATCAAAGGCAACCAGAAACTGGAGCAGTTCAGAGTAGTAAGTGACACACATGGCCTACTTTTTACACTGCTGCAGTTAAAGGGGTGGTTACTGCTTATTTTCTTTGCATGATTGTGTTTATGGGGTGCAATATAACATGTCTTTGTGTTGTTTTTTTTAAGTCTTATTTTTCATAAATTTCACCTTTATTTTAACCCGCTTTCTCCTCTGTCATTTGAATGACCAGTTGACTTCCTGATTCTATGAAACCACTCGCTCAGAAACAGGCAGTGGGCTCAGATTGGTTAGTTGGGCCAGTGTGTTGTGATCACAGATCACAGGTGAAAATTGCATGTGCTCCGGTCAAATATTGTCAATACTGCCATATTAGTTTGAGCCAGAATCAGGAGCCCAGTCTCATGAAAGTTCGTATCTATAGAACGAATGTTATTTCTCGTGCGATTTATACGCCAAAAATAGTTTTTGCGTCTATATGATATGCAGTTTTCACATGCATACCCACCCCCCTCCCCCCCAAATCTACCCAAGGGGTTTTCAGTGTGTAGCATATGCACACAAAAAAAACATTTTTGCCCCATAAATTGCACGAGAAATGACATTCGTTGTATAGATAGATACGCACTTTCATGAGACTGGGTTGGAATCGGACCCAGAAAGCGGTGATGAAGAGAGTCGAGCAGAACCTCCCCGAACACGGCTCTTACAAAATGTTTCTGAACGGTACATTTTTATATTATTCTGTTCTGTTCTACTATTAGCCTATTATATTATAATTCTGATACGCTGTTACTTACTGTTAGCTTTTGAGATACCGTTTTCTTCTGATTGAACATTTATTAACACCGTTTTTTTTTAAGTTTTTGTTTTATCGATATAATGAACAACTGTTTATCTATTCAGAAAACTTATTTTACTTTTTTTGAACCTCCACTTTTTTAAAACTTTATACACGTTTGTCTTATACACACAAAATAGCTTCGAAATAACTGGCTACTATGAACAAACAGTGTTGGCATTAGGTTCTTGATCAAATCGAAAAAGTTACGTCATAAAGTATACATGGAAAACACATTTACAAAATTAGTACACAATTACAAATTCAGGTCCACAATCTATTGAATAAACATTAACATTATACATGAACTTTTATTCAAATTTAAGTATTAAATATTATACAATTATACATAAAAAATAAAACAGAAGAAAGACATAAATAAATAAAAAATAAAGCTGCCAATGAGGTGGTAATATAAAAATATTAATAAAAGTACTGCAGGGGGTATACAGATATACTTTCATATTCAAAGAGTCTGTCTGTGTACAGGCAAAGTGTTTACTCCCACAACCTTCAATACCAGCTCTTTGCAAAGCTCTGAAAGGTACACTTAGTATTATTTTCCTTATAAATAAATTAATAGTCCTTTAAATAAATAAATTATAAATTAATAGGCCTAATAAAAGTGGATTTATTTACATGGAGCGGGTCACCTCATGGAGTCCAACATGTTGAAGTCACATGGCCAGCCTACTCTGAATGATCTCTGTATCCCCTTTATTATTGTCAGATGCTGTTGCTAGCACACAAACCTAAACTTTTATTTTTGTGACCACTAGGTGTAAGTATAAGTCCATAATGACTGCCATATTCACTGCACAACATTAAAAAAAACTATAACTGAAGCTTATGAATGTTCATAACATTTCTGTGATTCTTTCAAAGGCACATGAGGATCCAATGTACGATATCATTCGAGAAAACAAACGCAACGAAAAAGAGACAAGGTACGTCAGGTTTTATACATATTGAGACTGTGTGAAACTCAAATAAAATTGTTGCATGTTGCATTTAAACAACTTTCAAAGGCTATAAGGGTAGACACAATTTACCATTCAATGTTCAAAAGTTTGGAATCAGTACGATTTTGTGAAAGGTTTTTTTTTTCTCATGCTCACCAAGGCTGCATTTGTTTGATCAGTACAAACAATAATATTGTTAAATAAATTATTACAATTTTAAATAACTGTTGTCTATTTTAAAGCTGCAGTCCGGCCTTTTTCCTCTTTGTCGCCATCTCTGTTCGAAATCTGCAATTGCAGTTATTCGTGG